CTGGCTCACTCCAGGGCTAGAAATGATACAGGTGAAAGCTCTAGGCTGTTTCACCACACCACAGTGTGCAAGTATTTGCCTGACGCCAGGGAAATTCTGTTTTCCATTTTTGAATATGGTTTGCATATGATTCCGGCAGTATCTACCCAGGACAGTGTCTTAGCGTGGTGGGCCTGGCTTTGAGTGCTAAGAAGAACTCCTGTGCTGGCTTTCATGATCTGCTCTCCAGTGCTAGAATTGTTCCCTGTTCTTCCACCCCAGACTGGGGGGAGGGTGATGCAGTCAGTCTCTCCACCTGACTATCGTAGTTCCAGGGACTCAGTACACAGGTATTCTCCGTGCGGTAGGGTTCATGGGGCTGCCTGCCTGCCTGCCCGTGGGTTGCACTGTGATGGGCCGGGTATTAAGTGAGCCTCAAGTCTATGACTTGGACTTAATTTCTTCTCCCTTCTTCAAGCAGGAGGCATCTTTCCAGATGCTTCGCTGCTGGATTTGGGGGAGATGTGCTACAGAAAACTCTCTGTCTGCCTGCTGCAGTGTGTCTTTCCATCCTGTCATACCACAAGTAGCCACCATGGTTTCTCATCTGGTTTCCTTAGCACTCGTTAGTGGAATCTGGCGCATGAGGAACTGTCCACCTAGGATCTTTGAAGAGATCACTACCAGAGGAAACGACTTAGCCACTCTCTTGCTGTGCTTCTGAGATGAGTTAAATTTAACAAAGTTTATTTGAACAAAATGGTTGGAGAACGAGGCAACATTCCCACCTGAAGTGGTTCGGAATGCCACATCCCCGCATATGTGTAGGCTGTATTTACAGCTAGAGGAAAGGAAGGCACGGAGGCACACAGAAACAGCCTGAGTGGTTGCAGTTCAAATTTGCCTTTTATGGGCATGGTCAGAGTTGCTGGCAACCTGTGAACCACCGAAGCTCCTCTCCTGTGATTGACTGAGATTCAGCTATCTACGACAAGAATTCATTCTTAAATTAGTTTATACTTTGTTTGCATGCTAAGTTATTCTGTAGTTTGCTTCATAGGGAGTCACTTTGGGCCAAGTTTTATAGCTCATGTCCATAAGCAGACAGGCTAAACTTAAAGGCTTAGCACTTTCTTGTGTTCATTCAGAGGAAGTCCTAGAGCAGGCTGCATTGTTTATATGTCATGAAGTAGACTGTAAAATCCAGAAGCTTGAGGAGAAACGGTAACTTCATGGCAAGTGACAAGTCTTTGGGTCTACTTGAGAATGGAAGTTGAAAGAGCAATGTCTGCCCAAACCAGGCCCCAGACGTGAGAATCTGAGTGAACTAGAATGACTCTCACTGGCTCATGGTACAAGACAAAACCTTGCATGGGAACCAAAAGCCTACACAGCACATGCGTTTGTAGGTGAATTGTATGTCACCACATAGTATCAAAGTGCAGTACTGAAACTTATCCTGAAAACCAATGCCCAGTGAATGTATCCCATTTGGGGACTTTGGGATAAGCCAGTGCAAATGATTCTTGAGATTGTTGACAACCTAGGATTTCAGGGTTTCTCAAAAGTTGTCATTGCTAGGTGAAATTAACTGAAAACTCATACCAAAATTTCTAAAACATTTTTAATTGCTTCAGTTTAACTTATCTTTAGGGGCTGGGGATTTAGCTCAGGGGCACAGTGCCTGCCTGGCAAGCACAAGGTCATGAGTTCAATTCCCAGGACTGGAAAAAAAAAATTAACTTATCTTTAAGAAATCTTCAAAGGAAAGAAAATCAATTTATCAATTAGTCTTATATTTTGAAATTAATAATATCAAATTTTTCTAATATAATAAACCAAAATGTATTGTATTAAATTATAGCACTAGAGACAACTATGTTTTACTATCTACCTCAATTTTTGTATAATTTGAAGACAATGACATATGAAAAGTTAATTGTACATTTATTAATATGAAAGTAATATGTACGGAGGACAGTTAGTACATATTAATGGATAAGGAAAATCTTACAGGATGATGGAAAAATGAATCTTAAAATATGTTTAGCTCAGTTCCATATTTTATTTTTGGTGCTGCCTGAAAATCTAATCCAAATTTAGGTCGTCAGCTTTTCTATTGTATACCATTTCTGCTTTTCATCCTTTTTGGAATTATGAAACGCTTTGCTCTGTGAAACTGAAAACTTACTTGAACAAAATAAGCATTTTTGAGCCCTCAGATACCTACTTACTCATAAAACTTGAGAAAAATGTCAACATTTTGTTCTTTTGTCTCATAAAAATATTTATAGAACATTGATATAGCAAACATCAGTGAAACAGAAATATTTCAATGAATAATAGTCATTAATTGCTTTCTTCTCACTAAAATTTTAGGTAACATAAACCAAAAAGTGAGAAAATTACAGTAAAATTGAATCTAAAATAATTAAAATGATTAACAAATGAAGCTTTTACTTATACAAAGACACATATTATCAAATATTAAAAGTGCCTAAAATTAGGGTCTGGTTAAGCAGGGCCTGGGTACACAGCTATTTTCTTTTAGTAAGGCCGTATGGATGTTTTTAATAATTCTTTAATGTGAAATAAAATGGAGTAAGACACTAACTGTATAAATATAACTACAAATACTTTGCTTTATGAAAACATTGTCAAATATATGAAAAAGTTGATATTTTACATGTATCTACATATTTTGTATGATATTATAGACTCAAATTATATTTCAAAATCCTCAGGTTTCTATTAGAACTATACGATACGCTTTAACAGTAATAAATAATGGCTGAATTCTACTTACAATAAACATTCAATTCATCATTGAAAATTTCCGTATTTTTACATTTTCATTATTCTCTTCATTATTTGTTGTTTTAGATTCTCTGTGCTGTTTGCCTTATATTTAAATGATGCAAATAGAAAGAGCTGCTCATCTAACAATTTTAGGAGGTCAAACCATAAGAAATGTTATTTTTCATATTTCATGATAAATAGTATGTGTTGTTATTAGCTGTACTATTTTGTGATTTTTATAAAGTGGAAAATATTATTCCTACTTTATGAATGAGCAAGCCTGACCCCAAGGAGCTAAATACTTTATAATGCTTCTGATTTTTCTAAGGAGTTAGCCTTTGCTATCGCTTTTCTTAAACACAGATTTGTGAAAATTAATGATTTGTCTTTACTGAACACATTGTATTGGCTGTGAACTCAACTGAGATAAAAGAAGAAATAAACAATAGTAATTCTATTTAAAGTTAACTGATGTGTATGAAAAGTGTGGAGATCAATTATACTGACATTTTATACGAATGGTTAACATTCAAGTCTCCCTTGAGTAACCAGAATGGTTAAGTAAATGCCAGGCTCCCTATCTGATGCTAGGTTGGGCCAGAGGTAGGAACTTAGTTTTGAAAATCCATGGTAGAAGAGAGAGAGATGAGAAGGGAGGAGAAGGGAAGGGGGCAGATGAAGAGCAAGAAAATGCAGACATAAAACCAAGGCTTCCTGATTCTTACCGTAGAACGGAATCATATTTTGCACTGTTGAAAGTCAAATACCTGATCTTGCTGAACACGTAATTCTGAGTAATGGAACCTCTGAATCTGTCCTATGAACTACAATATGGGTAACTCAAAACACCGTTGAGAACTGAACAACCTGGTCTTCATATTCAAGTATACAATTTCTTCCTCACTATGCTAATTGAGTTACCAGTAATGTGTCAGTTTAATCTGTCAACATTAAACTGGTTTACACACTCAGAGCTCCAAAGGCCCTCTCTTTCCTATTTTTCCCATTTTGGCAAATGCTTTCTTCTGCTGACCCAGTTGCTTGGGCCCCAAACCATAACCTTGTTTCCCCTGTCTTCTTCATGTGCTTCATGACCCATCAACAATGTCTGTCAACTCTTCTACCAAATTTATTTTTACCAAAACCAATCACTTCTCTCCATTGCCCTGTTACCGTCACTACCACTCCCATTCCAGAGCGAGCTATTTATATGCGGGATCCACCAAAAACTGTATACATCGGGAAAAGTAAAACGTGGATAAATATTTTAATGCTACTTTCATTGAGACGTTATGAGATTAATGCAAGTTATCTTTGGCCTCTACAATTAGAAGAGATGCTCACAGTGGTGGCCATTAGCTTCCGGACAGGTATAAGTACGGCAAACTGCTGAAGTGTGTATACATTCTTAGTGGACTCTGTATTTCATGAGATCATTTTGAAAACAGCTTCCTGGGCTAGAAGATATTATTCCTTCTACTTTCTGTTCTAATAATTGTTTTGTTTTCATCCTGGCCCGGCAGCCAGAGAGCCCTTTTATAATATGGTTCACTGGTTCCTTAGCACTGGCACTGTCTAGCTCTTTAAGGTGCTATGGCTTCCTCCCAGGCCCTTTTCAGTCATTTTAAGTATATTTAATTTTTGTGCGTGACCTTGTTTTTTACCCTCTAAGATGAAAACTCCCTATGGGCATGGACTTTCTCTTTCTAATTTGGAACAGTGCCTGACCTAAAAAGATCCTCCTTCTGTATGTGATGGATAAGCCAGGTATCTCTTAAACAATTTTCATTGATCAAATGATTGTTTAGGTTACCTTCTCCCAAGCTTTCTTTAAAATACTGTATACATTGCCATCTCTTTATTCCACACTGTTTCGTATGTTTTGATACATTTTCTCCATTAAATTGAGCTGTGGCAATGGGAATTTCTCTCTCTCAGCTTTATTTTCATGGTATTGTAATGCTAAATATTTAAAAAAACTTAAGTACACATGTGAATTGAAGGATGAATGAATGAATGAATGAATGGTTAAATACTCCAAGAAGTATTTGAGATCCTCCCATAGTCACTATGCATAATTATCCTTTGGATATATTAAACTTTCATGGACAATTGGCCTTGTAGGGCCTTTCATGCTCAGTAGATAAAGGTTTGTTGTTTGAACCTTCTCTGCTAGTTAAATACTCCGTGTCTGTCAACAATTAAATTTTGTATATTTTCAGAGATCATCTACAGCTGGGTATTTAATGAATTCCCTGCCTTTGTGGTGGAAGACAGCCGGCGGTTCATTTCCCAGGAGACAGGCAATCTTTATATTTCTAAAGTGCAAACATCAGATGTTGGAAGCTATATTTGTCTGGTGAAAAACACAGTGACGAATGCCCGGGTGCTTAGTCCTCCAACACCGCTCACCCTGCGTAACGATGGTAAGTAGCGTGACCCGGAATTAAATGTTCACGCACCTCCAGTGTGAAGAGCAAAGATGTATTAGGATTTTTCCAAACGTTTGCATCCAGTACAAATAAGAAAGGTATTTGTCATATTTAGAAACTCACCATTTTAGTGTCAGATTATGCACGCCTTAGAATAAAATTTTTGGTATGGGAAAGTGATGATCCGTGGATGAGAAATATTCCCCATAATGCTACTCTAATGTCAGAAAGGGAAAGAAACTCTGAAAAGAACAGCAATAAAGACTCCACGGTACTTGTCTCTCCCCTTTAGTGTCTCTATGCAGGGTACGTATGTGAACCGTAAGTGTTTTATACGTGCAGCTCCCATTTCATTTTTATTTTAGCTACTTTCAAATTGAATGTTCAGCATTTAAGACTTCATGGTACAATTATAATTGTTGTTATCACTTTCCCAATAATGGGAGTAGTTGGAACTGTAACTTTTAAGTGCAACTCAGGCATGTGTGATGATGCTGTAATTATAGTTACTGACATCTATCTAAAGTATCTCGTGTTTAAACACCTCATTTGTGTTTATAGAGAGCTACAGCTAAGTACTGCATCGAGGAAGTCAAGTACTATATTCCGATTGATATATGATATGCAGTTGGTTCTGTCATGCAACAAAAACTCTATGAAGGTATTATTGAGAAGTGAGCTTTAGAATCCTGATTGATTTGACATTTAAAAATAATCTTCTTCTCCGCAGTTCCTTTGTATGCTTTTTTTCAAAATGTGTGCTGATGGATTGTACAGCCAGAGCTACATCCCGAGATTTTTGCTTACCCCTTAGTGTGTGAATGTGTATATTTGAACGTAAAAACTATAAAATCAATAAGCAAGTATACATCTCTATATATTATATCCGATATAAATAATTATCTGGAAGTGGAATATCCAGTTTAGTGATGAGAATTCTAATATCAGAAAAGATGGTGGGATCTACCAAAGGCCGCACAGCTCATATTATGGGTGAACAGGTGGAAAACAAGAGCATTCAGAGGCTGCTAAACTAATGAGCCAAAAATTAATAAAGGACAGACAAAACTAATGGTAGCATACGAGAGCTCAGGAAACATGACTTGGATGCTAACGGGAATACAATTACCAGATTTTGACAATAAATCGGAGATAGATCTCTGGACAAATAGGAAGCTAACACAAAGAGAACTTCAAGACACTGACACAGTTCATTGAATGGGTAATGTTTCTTCCCACCAGAAGAGAAAACACGGGTGGAGGAGCAGATTTCAGAGTGGGCGAGCCTGAGAAATTCAGTTTTGGATACGATGAGATAAGTGGTCCATAGGAAATCTATGGGGAACTTTGCATTAAACATAATATACATGTGTCTATACATATTCCTAATACTCCTAAGGTAGGTCTTACCTAGGGAAAGAGATTTGAGTCACCACTGAATATAGTTGAAGCTATGTTTGTGCTAGTTTTATGCCAATTTCAAGATTTTGTAATATCTGTAGTCTGAAAATACCCAAAGAGAAGCAAAAAAAGCATTTTTCAAATTCATCTAACAGCTTGGATTTGATGTAGCTCTCTAGAAGCCACTTCTGTAAAATCTCTGAGCATTTTTTCCTTGATTTCTTCAGCATTTAACACACCCTTATCTGTAAAATGCAAAATATTTGTGGCTGAATGAAATGTAGTCTGATTCATTCTATCATCTGTCTGTCTAATCTATCTATCTATCTATCTATCTATCTATCTATGTCTATCTATCAATCTATGTATCTATCTATTTTCTGTCATCTATCTGTCTATCTATGCATAATACCCTGTCCTTAAAATAGTGCTTCCACGGCTTTCTTAAACAGCAGACCTTTTCCACTGTCTACTACAAGGGAGAACAACACACTAGTATGTCAAATCCAAAACACCAGTCTGACTAGTAGGATAAAGTTTGATATGTGATAAAAATCCATGTGTGACAGTCTGTTGAACTTTTATTTCATGGATGAATCGTACCATGTTCCTTTCTATTCTACCTTCTGAGCAGAGAACTAATTACACTCTTATTATTTGTCTGGAAAAGCTAAGCACTGTTTGAAAACTTGCACCCACCATGTTTTTATGATCACCATTTTCAGATGGGCCTTTAAGATTGCCACTAAATCTCAATAGTTTTCTGTAAATTGTTTAATTTGCTACTCTATCAAACGTTTTTGGAAGCTTCTTTGCTTTCAACTGGATGACCTCAAATATACCATTGGACAAAACTTGGTAAATTATCACATTCATCTTCTTACTAATCAAGCTCAAATCTACCTGCCTGTGCTTGTGCCATTCCATCCTGTGTCAGTACTTGCTACACTGCGCCCCTCCTGCTATGAACAGTCCATCCTTAACTACTGGTTTTTGTTTTTCCCATTTTTTTAAAAAACACTGTATGTTCTCTTAGTTATTATTTCTTTTTTTTTTTTTTTTTTTGGTTTTT